TGATTTGAACAGTAGATATCTAGGCTGGGTGAAAATAAAGGTGACATGGAATAAAATTATGTTTCTTTATTCATTATGTTAGAATCCTGAACATCCTAACAAAGATTACATCATCAATTTTGAGATTCGATCATTACGAGACAGTCGAGCGTTGATTGAAAAAGTTGGTATCAAGGAATCTTCCCAATTCATAGAAGACAATCCACATCCCAGACTTTGGTAAAATCTCTTTATAAGCCAACTTTGTTTAAATTTGTGTTCTTTTGTATTCCTTTCCTGTTCAGACAGATCTAGTACTAAAGTAAAAAACTTCCAATTAGAATCGGCCAAAGCAGCATACAATTTAAACATATCATTTAAGAAGAAGAAAAATAAACCCCCAAAAAGGTAACAGTGCTCTGCTGCAATCTGAAGGAATGCTGTTCTAAGTGAGAACATTCTTTAGTGGGCTGAATTGCCTCCCAGGGAATACTACAGCATTATGGGAAGGCCCAAAGAGAGCCTTGCAGTCCTTTGCTAGTGTGGCTCTCCACCTCTGTCACAGCTAGTGTGTTTGGGCAGTTTCAAGCTGTGTGGCATTATGATTTCCAGGAATGCAAGAAAAGGAGGTTTTTGTTCCTGAGCATTTGAGAATTTATGTTTCAGGAGATGCTGAGCAAGTGTTCCAAGACTTCCCAGCAGCCATCTCAAAAAAAGAACTTGGGGCTAGTGCTTCCCAGGGCTCCTAGTTCTTGAAGCCAAAGAAGAGGGCTGTTACTAAATTGGAACAGTTGTTTTATTACCTAGAATTTCTAGGTAATGTGTGTGGTGTGTGTCGTAATAGTGGGTATAGGGTACAAGTTCAGGACATCTTTTTGCTCTATACTATATGAATCCTGAAATGCAGTGCTCCCTACTTGTAGGGGTGAATCTAAAGGAAATGAAAAAGCTGGCAGAAAAATAAGTTGGTTAAATCAAAATTCAAATTGGTCATAAATTGAGAGGGTATTTATTTATTTGTATGTTTTATATTGAACATTGATGACAAAGAACTTAACACCCAGAAAAGGGAACACATAGAATGATAACTAAGTAAGAGCAGTTGACTAATCTTGTAACATTTTGGACAGGCTTTAAAGGACAGAAATAAGAAGGGCTGGGTATGTTAATCATGTTATGATGCAGCCTCTCAGAAGCAGTCTGAGAACTAAACTAAACATGGACTCAGCAATCAAACTAAACTTGAAAAGCCTGCACAGAAAACATTTATCAGTAAACCTGTGAAAACAGGAGTTCTGGAAATCTATTTTATAATCTTGTGTCATAAGGGATGGAAAAGTGAATAAATGCCTGAGTAGATAATTTAATGAAAATTCAGTAGCAGAAACTGAAACTTCATTGACAAGTCTATTGTTGAATGATGCTATTTCTCTTCAAGTCTCTGGAGGATTTTTTCTCTGTCTGTACCTTTCTTTAGTAATTTTTGGCTCTGTTTTGAAGCCAAGTGATTTCTTGCAGCATTGGATGTTTGGTTTGCATCAAGGCAGGTTGCAAGTTCTCTGTTAATTCTGACAGTGTAGAGGGGAGTTTAGAATTGCTTAAAGGCTGGCCAAGACAACTCGCTTTAAAAGTTTGTCCCAAAAAGCATTCCTTCCTATCCAGTTGTGCTTTTATCTCCAGAATGTACATTTTGAGAAACAGGATTTGATAGCTTGTCCTGGGTTCAGCTACAGCAGTCATTTTTTCTCCTTCTTAGTAGCTGGTGCAGTGCTGTGTTTTTGACTTTCAGTCTGGGAACAATGCTGATAACACCGATGTTTTTAGTTGTTGCTCAGTAATGTTTACTCTGACCAAGGACTTTCTCAGTCTCATGCTTTGCCAGAGAGGAGGGGAAGCCAGGAGGAAGCAGAGGCAGGACACCTGACCCAAACTGGCCAAAGGGGTATTCCATACCACAGCACGTCATGCCCAGTATAGAAACTGGGGGGAGTTACCCGGAAGGCCCAGATCGCTGCTCGGGTCGGGCTGGGTATCGGTCGGCGGGTGGTGAGCGGTTGTGTCCTTTTCCCTTGTTATTCCTCTTATCATTATTATTGGTAGCAGTAGTGGTTTGTATTATACCTTAGTTACTGGAGAGCTGTTATCTCAACCCATGGGAGTTACATTCCTTCGATTCTCCTCCCCATCCCTCCGGGAGCGGGGGGAGGAAGAAAAAGGGGAGGAGTGAGTGAGCGGCTGCGTGGTTCCAAGTTGCCGGCTGGGCTTAAACCACAACATAGCTACATGTTGAAAGTTTCTGTAAGAGTATTGCAATTTTATTAGTTTGAGTATGTAGTGTTTTTGTGAGTCTTGATTTTTACTAATGTCTTGAACTAGCTGACGATTTTGGGAGTTTTGAAGTTGTTCAATGCCTTTTGCTAGTATCATGTGTTTATTTAATATAAAATGACTGGGTTTTGAAAGTCTCTGTCTCAGTAGAAGTTTTATATTGTAAAATAACAAAATATATGTTAAATGCGGTTCACCTTACTCCAAAATTACCATGAACTTAATTTTTATTATGCAAGGAAATGTATGTCACATATTTATACAGAAGAAATGTATTAGAAGTGCGGGGTAAAAAGTAAGTATATTCTAGCTCAAAATGGGACAGTGCCCTTAGTGCTGGAACATAACAAAGGAATGATGTGTGTTGCGGATCAATTAAACTTGCCATCCTGCTTTTGTCTTGGTTTCACTGATGTCAGTGATGAGCACTTGAGTTGGAGTGATACTCACCTCAGATTTATTAAAAAAGACTGAGTTAATTCTGCATAAGCATGACTTAGGTCACTGAATACAGCAATAATATTACTTGGTTTTGTTGGTGCCTACTGCACTGACTTTGTTTCACAATATTTACCTAGCCTTACTTTTGCAGAAAATTCTGAAGCTCATTCAAGCGCCTTATGGATATTGGTTGGCCTGAAGGTGTAAATTCTCTACTTGTAGAAGTAACCAATGGGGCAATACCAGTACAAGGTTTCCCAAACTGCCCTGGTCATCCAGACTGCCATCCTAACTGGACAAGGAATGTTCAGGTGGATTAGAAGGATAACTTATTCTTCATGGTCAATTTAGTTGGAGGCCTTCAGACTGAGGCTGCCATCAAGGCTTAAAGTAATGATACATGCATAGGTAGAAATACCTAAATGTAACTGCACTGACACCAGCAACCCATTTCACGTAAGACAACTGTAATAGTGAACCCTGCCCATTCCTCCCAAGCCAGTGTCATTTGAACAGCTGAATAAAAGAATATTAGCAATTATTTGAACATCTTTCCCTGAGCAAGTACTGGGTATATCACAGAATGTACTGGGAACAAGCATCAACTGAAATAAGATCTGATACCAAACAATACCACTGCAGTAACTTGAATGTCTTCTTTAAATAATTATGAGTTAAATGGATCCTCATTTAATTTACTTTATTGCTGTTTTTCAGTCTGTTTTGTTTGCTTTTCACACAGGCGTCTCCTGGCTGAAGCTGCTCTTCAGAAGCTGGATCTGCAGACTGCTGAACAAGCTTTTGTACGCTGCAGAGATTATCAAGGTATTAAATTTGTGAAGCGTCTAGGCAACCTGCAGAGCGAGTCAATGAAGCAAGCAGAAGTGGCAGCCTATTTTAGCAGATTTGAAGAAGCTGAAAGAATGTATCTGGATATGGACAGAAGGTAATTGCATGTAGCCATCTCAGCAGCAAATAGAGAAAAGAAGTCTGAGAGGAAAAAAACCGCTGTTTTAGCACTGAAGACACTGCTAGTTTCTGGATAGACAGAGAAGGATCAGATGAGAGAATTTTGTTGTATCCATAGATAACCAATTCTATTTGGAAATCAGCGCGTTCCAAACTCTTTGTAAAACCTCAGTGCTCTAGGTAGTGCTGTGTTTCATACATGGTTTTTTGCAAGTGTTTTGTTGGTATTTCAACTGGGATTCAAAAACAAAACCAATCTCAACTAGCATTTAATTTATGTAGTGTTGCTCTTAGCTAGCAGCCAAGTACACATTCTTTCCAATTACATATACAAACAACAGAGTTGTTAATGAACTGTAATCTCCAGAGAGACCGAAAAGACTCTTGATGAAATTGTGGATCAATCAATGGAATTTTTGCTCAGGAATGAAAACAAACAAAGCAAAATTACAATATTACTGGGAATTGTAAATTAACACTAAGTAATTAGCTAGACCACCTTTTTTCTTTACTGAAAAAGGCTAATGAGGAATATAAGCAGCAGTAGCATGATGTAGCCTGTAGGTAGTGATCAAACATAGAGAAGCATGAATCACTTATGCACATGTGAAATTTTAAAGCTTTGATTAATGGAGCCTTGTAAGTTTAGGGCATTTTTAGAAGTATATAGATCTCTCCAATTTATCTTCTATGCACCTGCAGAATTACTTCTGTGTGAAGTAACAGAGTATTATTCTATATGGTGGAAAAAATGTGCCAGGCAGACACAGGTGGGTCATATGTATGCATGATATGAATAATAAAAGGGAAAGACTATTTCTCTTTTCTTTCATCCAAAGTCATCTTGAATCTGAAAGAGAAGTCTCTGAAATCCATTTTATTACAACTCAGCTTTAGACTCCAATAGTCATATTCCTTCCTCCTTGGCCCTTCCCCTCACCTCACTTCTGCTTTTTGCCTTTTGCAGCTGCTGACATCTATTGTAGCAGTCAGCAGTGAAAGTTAAAGAATAGTATACAGAATAAGAGGAAACTTGAAGTAACATCATTCTCATCTGTCTCACCAGCTACTCTTTTAACTCCTAATAACTAATAGGGAAGTGCATACATGTGATATAACCTATGAGCTCTCTGAGTATTTGCTTTTATGGAATAATGTTGCAATTGTAAAGAAGATATCTGGGATCAGTGTGACACCTGCAGTGTAGATTATGAACATGAAAATATTTCGGATGCTTTTCTCAAGTTTTTTGTTAGCTGTTTTGTTGTCTCTGACCTTTTCCTGCTACGTTCTGTTCATACTAGAGATCTTGCCATTGGACTGCGGATAAAACTGGGAGATTGGTTCCGAGTATTGCAGCTGTTGAAAACTGGCTCAGGTGATTCAGATGATGCCCTTCTTGAACAAGCACACAATGCTATTGGAGATTACTTTGCAGACCGTCAGAAGTGGTAAGAAGGAAATTACAAAGGAAATTATACAGATGATGACAAGACTTAATTTATGAGGAGGGACAGATGTCAGGGAAGTCAGGATGCAATAATTTTGGAATGATGAGATTTAGCTCAGACCTTTATGGTTCCATTGATGCATGTACCTTTGAACAGAGAGCTGCTGGTCATCAAAAGAATGAAGGTGATAAAAATCTGAGTTTTGCCAGAAGATTGTCTGCTTCAAAGGAGGGGAGGGTAATAGAAATTCCTATATAGTTGTATTAGGCTGGATATAGAAAATATTTTAAAAAAAAAATAAACAGAAGTAGGAGAGAATTGTTAAACATCAGTGAATTTCAAAACTAACCACAAGCTTTCTAGAATGCTTAAACTCACAAATATTTGAAAAGGTCCAGAGTTCTTTCTGGCCTGGATCTCTCTGTCTGCAGTTATCCAAACTGGGCTCTCACGGAGGATTTTTAAGAACAGCACACACGTGTAATGGTATTTCTCCAAAACATGTTTTTTAGTCAGGTACTTACTGAGCCAGAAGTGATGTCTCTGTGGTTAAGAACTTGCAGAGAAATTTTCTTTCATGAACTTCTCTTGTTGCCATGTGAAGTTTTAGCATCCAGAACACAGCTCCATTATGTATTGCAACTACCCCAATTATATTGTCACAAAGAACTTTCGTCTCAAAAAAGTTTAAAACTTGTGATTAGATTTTGAAAGTTAGGGTTTTTTTTAGATGCTTTAGATAACTTTGGAGAGTGGTCTTGGAGATCTTACTGCTTGTGTTTTAAAATGTAAAGGCACAACAGTAAAGCTCTTTTCTGAAAGTTTAGTTCTAAGCTGTTGTCCATTATCAGCCATGACCTGTGCAGATGTGGGAATACAATGTTAAGATTCCTTGAATTCCTAACCTTATGCTAGTTAGAGAAACAATCTTGCTACTACTTAAATATAATGGTATCTGAAAGTTAAACGTTTTAGTGCATTTTAGAAAAACAGTGAATTTCTAGCTACAAAAGCTCTCTCAAGCAAAGTTATCTATTTAAAATAATGTCATTTTAAATTTACAAATGCAAAAGTCTTACACAATGAGAAGCTTCACTTGTGTTCATATACCAGAATCCAGCACACTTTTTTTCTTTCCTTATTAGGTTAAATGCTGTACAGTATTATGTACAAGGACAAAACCAGGAACGTTTAGCTGAATGTTACTACATGCTAGAGGACTACCAAGGACTGGAAAATCTAGCTAACTCACTTCCAGAGAATAATAAATTACTCCCTGTAAGCAAAAAGCATTTTTCATTGTCTTATGCTCAACCATTTATTTAAAATTTCCCATCCTGGGAGGGTTAAGTAAGAAAGAGAGAAGGAGTGGAGTATGTGACCTACTCACTTGAGCATAATGGTGTTACTTTGGTATTGATCTCTAATATTCCTCCATCATTCTTCCTTTCCCTTATGGTCCAGGTTCCCCAGAAAGACCTGATTATTCATCATGCTGTGTGGCTAGCTGGCTAAGTCATAATTTACTCCACCCCTCCCCAAATAGTTACATTTCTCTCTGAAATAGCTGTGCTTCACTGAGAAGTCACTCTTCATGCCTGGACACTTCAGCTTTCATTTTGTTGTCTAGCCTAGGGGTTTTTTTGCCATGAATTCTTCTTGGTTGCTTATCCCTGGTTTAACTTCTTGCATGGTAGCTCTGGTGGGAATGTTAATGATCAATGAAAACTGAAGATTCTCTCCTGAAAGGAGGGGAAGTAGGTGGTATAGCCTAAAATTACCTACTAAGTAATAGCCAGTTTAAAACTATATGATTAATTAACCCAAAATGCTTGATAAATGCAAAACATGCTCATTTAATACCATTTTCAGTTGTCTGAACAAAGCCAGACGTAGTACTTTCTTTTTAGCCTCTTCTGTGTCAGAACACAGCCCTTCTGGTGTGATTTGATAGAAAAATATTTAAATGGCTTTTATTTTTTAATTTAGAAGCAGTGTGTGAAAGTAGCACACTGTTCTAAAGATTTACAACAGTGCATGTTGTCTTCCCAGAATCCATGTAGCAACCAACCTTGGAATTCCCCCAACTTCTTGGAATTAAACTGAACAAGAATATAATAATACTGCAGTTGCTGTGCAATGTACTGAAAATCTGGAAGTGAGTTTAACATGGTGCTGATGCTTTTTGCAGGATATAGCTTATATGTTTGTAAGAGTGGGGATGTGTGAACAAGCTGTGTCAGCCTTTCTGAAATGTAATCGACCAAAGGATGCGGTTGATACCTGTGTACATCTCAACCAGGTAAACCAGCAGTACATAATCTGCTTTACCAATACCGATTTCTATTCTAATGCCCACCTAAATATAAGTCTGTGTTAAGTGTCTGATGATTTGTCATGATTTCTGGAAAATTCATACTTCATGCTTAAGAGAGTTACCTGAAATCAGGATTAGACCTTTGAAGGGGCAAAGCTGTGTTCAGCAGTACTACTTCTCTATGCGTGTGTGGTAAGTGTGCCCAGCATACAGACACTCGGCATTTGTAGAGCCAGGCTAGGCTGCCTCCTGATGGAATGGGAGGAAGACTGGAGAGCTGCTGGCTGCTCATTTTCTACATCCCCGTCCTTCCTGGTACAAATGCAAATGTATTTGTGGCTGCATTAGAATGTAACTGGAAAAGAACGGATCTGAAAAATGATCTGTGTATTTACAGCTACACCTGTTCCCCAAGTATGCTTACCTGTGCAAATGTTTGTGTCAACACAAACAAGAATGAAACTGAGGATGGCTATGAGGAACTTGTTGTATGGGAATGGCAGGACTGGCTAGTGCTGGCTCTATGTGTCATTTTCCTAGTTTATGGATCTGAAGGGCTACTAGGTTATGAGATTCTATTAAGTTTCTCAGTTCTGCCAAACTTTGATCTGGGGCAAACACAGTAGCCAAGCTGTTGAAGATCAGGAAAATTCACGGACAAAGTCAGGTGTATAGAAGGATAAATAAAGTGTTACTGTTTGTGCGTTAAGCTTATGGGCTGAAGTCTTCTTTTGGACATGTTTTTGAGAGTCTGGGTTTTAGTAATTTCAGAAGCGTTGAAATCCATGTGGGCAGCAATGAAGTAATTTTTGCAAAGCTTTTATCAAACCAGAAGCAACTGCTTTGTATGTGGTTTTGGACGGAGGTCCAGCATTTGTTTCATAGGCCATTGCCACATGATTGGCAATGATGTTAGCATTTGTTTTCTCTTGCTTTTTACTTTGATTTTATAGTAGCATGGTTCTAAATGGTGATGAAATATTGCACACAAATGTTGCAGGCTATTCATGGATAACCAGCTTGTACTGAGAATGTATTTGAAAAATGAGGTCTGCTTTCTGTATGTGAAAATAATAATTCTCTGCTTTCATTTCTAGTGGGATAAAGCTGTGGAGCTGGCTAAAAATCACAACATGAAAGAGATTGGATCCTTGTTAGCCAGATATGCAAGTCATTTACTGGAAAAGAATAAAATCTTTGATGCCATAGAACTCTATCGTAAAGCAAATTATTTCTTAGAAGCTGCTAAGCTCATGTTCAAGGTATTAAAGGTTTTATTTTTATGTCAAATAACTGGGATTTTGGACTAGCTCTTATTTTTCCATGCATTTTTTTTTCTTGGGTTTTTTTTACTATTGTTTTCTTGGGGTTATTTCAGTGTTAACAATATACAGGCAATAAGCAGGTGTCATAGAGGATACTGCAAAGAATAATCCAACTTTCAAGTTCAGGTGTCTGTATCTGAAAGTTACCCTGGATGTCCTTTGTAGCCAGTGGAGAGGAGACTTTCAGAACACAAACCATCTGATTGATTTATTTTGAGACTTTCACTTCAGAGCAAGATGAACTGCACCTTGGAAAACATAGTGTTGTCAGCATCAAGGATTGCCTAGTAAAGGACTATAGCAGACCAACCTGGGTTCATCTTCCACGTTATTTTATATGTTGTTTGGGTTAGGTTTTTATCTCCTCTATTTTTAAATTTTAATAAAAAATTAAATGTAGTTAAATTTTGGTATTTCTTCAGTTGGTTCCTTCAAGTAGAAAATGTTACGGTGTGCTTTAAGGTAAAGGTGTTGCTTTTATTTGGTTTGTGTGCAGAGATGTCTGTGCATAACTCAAAGCCTGTAAGAGTGATACGTAATTTTTACAGCAAATATTTAAGTAAAAAATAAGTATTTATATGCTGTTTTCAAAAGCCATTCTTCTTTTCTGGGAAAACCACCACACCTTATTGAAAGCTATGTATTTCGTAGACTTCAGTGTTTTAAAATGACTATATTTAGTTTATTTTTTTATATTGTCAATAGACTTATACAGGGTTATACTGCTTTATACTTCCTGAGAATCTGGCTTTATATACTTGTTAGCTAAATAAATATAGAGAAATGTACATTTTTCACTTTGACGTTTTCATTTATAGTTCTGTTTGCAGTCTAAATTACTACATATAAGTGCAGGATCATTTTTTTGGCATGATTTTTAGGTTTGTTCAAGCATGCAGTTTTCCAAGAGAATGAAGCGGCTCTTCTAATAATCTTTTTAATCTGCATTAAACTCCTTGGTTTTGTTTTTTAAGATTGCAGATGAAGAGTCAAAGAAAAGGACAAAGCCTTTGCGAGTTAAAAAGCTTTATGTATTATCAGCCTTACTTATAGAACAGTGTCATGAACAAATACAAAATGCACAAAGGGGAAAAGTTAAAGGAAAAAGTTCAGAGGTAGAGTATCTGTTTTGCTTTTTTCCCAAATTCTGGTATGTGTTACCTAGGCAGAATAAAGCAAGCTCTCTTCATAGGCTATTATAGTTTCTATTAATAACTCTTTTTCCTGCTAAGAACAAAGCTTTCCTTAAGCATGTCTTCCACAAAAACATAACGTTTAAAGTGTTACTGCAAACATTTAAATCATATGTGTTAATAGATATTTTTCTTAAATTTAATGTGTTTCTCTTAATAGTTTCACTACAACAATGAAAATCATACTAAGAAAGTCCAGATTATTTTTTTTTCTCCTGCAAGACTCTCACTTTCCTGTCATTTAGGATTAGGTATCAATCCCAAAGAGAGATCTGTGATTAGATTAAGCTATGTTGGCTATAATTGAACAGGGAGATGCCTCCAGATATGGAGGAAGCAAATGGAAGATTTTTTCTGCTCATGCTTTCATCTTCACATGCACAAATGAAATAGTTTAAACAGTTTTAAGAGATCTGGTGTTGACATGCAGTATTAATCCAAACTATGAACCAGTCTGCAGATGTGCACAAAATGTATTTGTACACATGTATATGACATTTATCTTCTAAAATCTGCACCATATGTTCTGCCTATGCACTGTATAAAATGCCTAACAATGCTCACTTTAGGTCCATGTATTTATATTTTCCCTAGTTAACACAGACAGTGGTGTAATCACCAAGTACAGAGAAGTTCTTTTCATGTATCCCCATTTCCTGCTGTATCTGGTTCATATAAAAATTACATGTGATACTGCTTTGTTTTCAGACTGTTTCAGCTCTGGCTGGTTTGCTAGAAGAAGATGTTCTTTCTTCAACTAATCACTTTGCAGACAATGCTTGGCGAGGAGCTGAAGCTTACCATTTTTTCATACTAGCACAAAGACAGCTCTATAAAGGTTCTGTAGAAGCAGCACTTAAAACAGGTAGGACTTTATTTTTAACTGTGTAAAGAAACTGTTATTGCTAGACCCATGGAATTTAAAACAAAATCATATTATGAATTGAATGTGGCCGCAGTCAAGATACCTGGAAAGTATTTTCTTGGAAACAGTGCAAATCTAACTTGCTAAATGTTACCTGGTTAAATTGGACAATCTCTGTAGATGTTCTGTTGACTGTTTCGTTTCTTTCTTTACATTATAACGCATGTCTGAATTCACATTGGACTCCCCTGTAGGGCTTCATAAAAAAAATTGTGGGAGTCAGAGAAGTAAATAATGCCCTATATTTTTTCCAAGTAATGGAGATCCATTTCAAATACTTCTAACATGTTTTCAAATTAAAAAAAAAACTGTCTCAGGCACTGTAATTTCCCACTCAACGCCCCGTATTTTTAATGCATCCTTCATAGTCATGTCAATGAAAAGACATTGGTTATTCGTGTCCTATTTGTGATATTAATGCTGTCTACTAGTAGCAAGTATTTTGTATAATGCTTGCACTTCTCAGAGACATCTAATAATTTCCTTGGATTTTTTTTTTTTTTTTTTTTATTTCTTAGCTCTTCATTTGCGAGATTATGAAGACATTATCCCTGCAGTTGAAATCTATTCTCTTCTGGCACTCTGTGCATGTGCAAATAGAGCATTTGATACTTGTTCAAAAGCCTTTGTTAAACTAGAATCATTGGAAACTCTTAGGCCAGAGCAGAGACAACAGTATGAAGACCTTGCTCTAGAGATATTCACAAGACATAGTCCGAAGAGTAACAAAAAATCTGACCTGGATGACATGCTTGATAGGTGGGTTTATAGTTATATGACACGGTAGTAATACCAACATTTTTTTTCTGCTATTGTTTGTATTTTGGATTTTAGCAGCTTTTGTGTGGCCTATTTGGCATTTTGCTGCTTTAAACCAAATATTGGGCAAGAATGATGCAGGTGTTAGGCAGTTTGCACAAAGGGTAATGTAACACTCTTTTATGTGGGAGAATAGACACTGACTGTATTTGAGGAACTGGGCATAAAGATGTAACTTCATCTTAATTTGAAATGCCTGTGGACAGAGCACAGGAGTTCTAGCACCTTTGGTAAGGTGTCACATGCCATTAAAGTACTAATGTTACTGTTTATATCACCATTGTGGTGTGATGCAAATGTCAACAAGTGAAAGGTTAACCATTATAAACCAGCAAGTCTCCACTGATTTGTGACATACCTACATCTGTATGGTGTGAGAAGATGAATGTGTGAAGTGAAAGATTTAGAATATGAAGGATGTGTAAATGGTAGATCCTTGGAGTGGTTGTAGCAACAGTGGTGTCTTTGATATATGTTTTCTGCTAACAGCATGGAATTTGTGAGTATGGAAATGGATTGTGACTCAAGAAACCTTTTGAATTAATAGGATTTTAACCTGTCCTGTTTATACTGTGCAGATGTACAGGATCTCAGTAGTAGCTTTCATGTTGACTCTTCAGAGAAAAAAATGCAATAGTAGAGCTGCTGTTTAATCAGACCATATCTTGATATGCCCACAATTGCTTCTCTTCACTTAATCTTTGGGACCTGCTGGTCCTGCTTTGTGGACTATATGCTTCTGGGGGGGTGCACTCTGTTGTGTGAAGACTTATATACTTGGCTATGTTAACAGTGAAGCATTACAGGATTTAGTAACTTCTAATCAAAAAGTGGCAAGGTGGCACTCATCTGAATAGAGCAGCAGTATTTTACAGATTAGCATCACAAGTTTTTTAACTAGCTTTAGACACACAGTTTATGCTGTCTTGCAAAAAAGAAAACCACAAGTTTTTCTTACTATTTTAAAGCTATGTTTTTATTCTTTCAGCTTTATTTACTTTTTTTCCTTTTTTTTGTTTTCCTCCAGTAGCGTAGATGGGAAACTTCCTCTATGTGTTGCAACAGGAGACCCGATCCTCGAGCAGCGGTTCTGGATGTGCAGTGTATGTAAGCACTGTATGAAACCCAAAGAGGCAAGCAATTATAGCTTCTGTCCTCTGTGCCACAGCACAGTATAGCAAAAGATAAAGGACTGTTTATCCTCGTATCTGTTACAGATCCTAAAAATAGTCTCTAAAATGTTACTGACTGATGTACTAATATTTTGAAATACTGTATTCTAACAGATAGTGCCACTATTGGCGAAACACCAAAAAACCAAACCAAACCAAACCAAAAAACCCACACAAAATCCCCAACCAACCAAAAAAAGCCCACCAACCTAACAAAAAACTCAACCAAACCCCAAAAGCAAACAAACCAACAACCCCAGAAAACCTGTAAGAAAAGACTTTCCATTTAAATGAAGAAAAGATTGTAGTAACAGACACCAATTTAGTTACCTTTTTTTTTACACAAAGGTTTAAGGTAAAAGCATTCTGTGCTAATTGTAAATGGAGCTGAGTTTCAAAACCATGCGAATTGAATGTCGGTTCATCTTAGTATGTCTTACTCTGGACAAGCTCCATTTTTCATTTTTGTAGTCCCATAGGACATTACTAGGTTTTCTCAAAATTCACTATTTTTTAAAATAAATAATTCCCGAGTTTAAATAATACCACTGTAGTTCTGATAATATTATTGAATATAGTTTTTCTCCTACTGTTTTACTACAACAGTGGTACCAGCTTAGGCATATATGTGTGCTGTTTTCTTCAGTCAAGTGTTTTTAAACCCAGGAGAGCTTGCAGATATTTAGCAATCAGTCCGTTAGGCTGTGTGTGGGTTTTTGAGCTGTGGTGGTGTCTTCCGTCAAATAAGGGAAGCGTGACATCGTCTAACATCGTGTGTTCATTCGGGTGCTGCTTGGGAGGAAAGCGCAGTGCCTCTTCTTGCACAGCCTTTCTGCGCAAGTAACGCCTCTCGCCTAAACGTACGCCACGTAAGAATAAACCCCGTTTTGCACGGAAAATACTGAACAGTACTATGTATTTTTTCCCGTTCTGGTCCCCCAGTTTCTTTCTCCCTCGTGAACACGGCCATTAG